AGCTGACGATCGTGTAACCTCGTCTATAAACTATAATCAGTAGCTTCCGGCAACGGCCGTACGCGCGTTGACGTGTTGTCGAGTTCCGGCGTAAGGGTGACCTCTGACCCGACGTATGATGTAGCTCCTCTACTTATTTATTGAAAACCTCTGACATTTTTCTTTAAAACTTCTCGTTTTAGACTTCTAATTTGTGACCGGCATTTTGTTTTGCTCTATCCTCTGCGCTTCTGCATTCGTCAGTTCTCACCTTATCCTACGTTATAAGTCCTACGTCGGGTCAGAGGTCACTCTTCTGCCGGAACTTGACTCTCTCGTCAACGCGAGTACGGCCGTTGCCGGAAGCCAGTGATTATAGTTTATAATTTCATTTTATTATTTAAATATGGATATTTTTCTTACAAAAACCCATTGCTTCACTTCAAAAGGCGTTTATTAACCCACTGGAGTCGTATGGATTTTGTGATGGATGGATGCGCTTTTTGGAGCTTCAAAAACTCGGGCGCTATTCAATGTCATTATAAAGCTGGGAAGAGCCAGGATATTATTTAATATAACTCCGACTGTGTTCAGCTGAAAGAAGAAAGTCATATACATCTAGGATGGCTTGAGGTTCAGTAAATGATGGTATAATTTTCATTTTTTGGGGTGTACTCTTCCTTTAATGATGCTATAATCTCCACTCTAACTTCCGGTCTGAGACTACTGGTCTGGCGTTGCTGTCCTGAGACTGCTGTGACGTATGACTCTGGAAAGTTTGATTTGGCAAGTTGTTTCGAACACCTGAAACAAACTCCAACTTTGTTTCGGCCTGATTTTGTTTGAAATAACATCACACAAGTTTGTTCTTCGATTTCTCTTGAAGTATATCGGGGACTTTGCGATTTCAGGCACAGCAAATCTTTGTGTGTCTACAGATCTGTAAAAATCTCCAGATGTAAACATGCAAATACTATAGGCATAAAATCTTACCAATACTATATCCCTAGTCATCTCAAGTCAGAATTCCAAACCAAAAAAGCAATGTACTCTTCAAAATTTACCATCTGTTTAATAATTTACTGTGCAGACCACAGAAGAACCATTACAGAGCCACTACGCAATATTATTTTCAGGAAATTCGGTGAACCCTTTAATATTTATCGATCTTAAAAACATGTTTTTGTGCACATTTTCTCTCATGAGGTCAGAGGTTTAAATAAGAGATGCATCACATCCTCCGGACTCTTTAAAATGTACACGTGTTCTAGACCAGACTAAATGAATAAAACATAAACCCTCCATGTCCTAACCAATACCCAGCTTTACTTCACAAACCTCCATGAACTCCATAAAAGCTTCACATTGATTTTTAAAATCAAAATTACGCTAAGACCATGTGACTTATCTGGCCCTATCTGGAAATCTAATAATAAGTTGCTTAGTGTGGATTTCATCTAAGTTCCCAAGAATTTGTCTGAAGATCGATAGGACAATAAGAGCTTCAAGTCAAAATCAATAAAATGATATGATTGGTCCCTAGTGCATTTCGTTAGTAACTGCACTGCCAGCTAACGTCTGCAGACATTTCTTACCAGACACTGCAAGACAATTCCACTAATGGCTATCATGATGTCATAATGTAGTTCAACTTTTAAGATTTCACCATAATTCGACTGCTGGAAACGGGCACAACCAAAACCAATGATTTCAAGAATGCACACTACTGATCAAACGTTTAGGGTCAGAAATGTTTCTTGAGCACAAAATCAGCATTTTAGAATGATTTGTGAAGGATCAAGTGACACTGAAGCCTGGAGTGATGATGCTGAAAATTCAGCTTTGAGTTTGACAACACAAGAATAAATTACATTTTTAATTATACTGCAATAGAAAAGTTTGGACATCTAGCGGTTAAAAAACAAAACTACATGGATTTTGCGCAAGAACGTTGTTTTGGTTGTGCTTCGGTTCTACTTGACTGTCATGAATGGTTCGCAGCACATGTCCTGTGGAGACATGGAAATCCAAAAAACGGATTTCATCTGAGTATGTACTGTAAGTGCAATGGTTTATGCTGTTGTTTTGACTTATTTGAGACACTGATATTTTTAAAGTAATGACATTACAAAAGTTGTTATCATGACGATTATAAGTTTTCATGACGATGAGTGAAACAAGGTATACATCTTGCTTTTAGAAACATTGGACCCGAAGCCTGTTTATGTTTTATAAATGATGCCTCATCCGCATCATTCTTAATTGTTTTGTATTGTTTTACATTTATATATACACTCACCTAAAGGATTATTAGGAACACCTGTTCAATTTCTCATTAATACAATTATCTAATCAACCAATCACATGGCAGTTGCTTCAATGCATTTAGGGGTGTGGTCCTGGTCAAGACAATCTCCTGAACTCCAAACTGAATGTCAGAATGGGAAAGAAAGGTGATTTAAGCAATTTTGAGCGTGGCATGGTTGTTGGTGCCAGACGGGCCGGTCTGAGTATTTCACAATCTGCTCAGTTACTGGGATTTTCACGCACAACCATTTCTAGGGTTTACAAAGAATGGTGTGAAAAGGGAAAAACATCCAGTATGCGGCAGTCCTGTGGGCGAAAATGCCTTGTTGATGCTAGAGGTCAGAGGAGAATGGGCCGACTGATTCAAGCTGATAGAAGAGCAACTTTGACTGAAATAACCACTCGTTACAGCCGAGGTATGCAGCAAAGCATTTGTGAAGCCACAACACGCACAACCTTGAGGCGGATGGGCTACAACAGCAGAAGACCCCACCGGGTACCACTCATTTCCACTACAAATAGGAAAAAGAGGCTACAATTTGCAAGAGCTCATCAAAATTGGACAGTTGAAGACTGGAAAAATGTTGCCTGGTCTGATGAGTCTCGATTTCTGTTGAGACATTCAGATGGTAGAGTCAGAATTTGGCGTAAACAGAAGGAGAACATGGATCCATCATGCCTTGTTTCCACTGTTCAGGCTGGTGGTGGTGGTGTAATGGTGTGGGGGATGTTTTCTTGGCACACTTTAGGCCCCTTAGTGCCAATTGGGCATCGTTTAAATGCCACGGCCCACCTGAGCATTGGTTCTGACCATGTCCATCCCTTTATGGCCACCATGTCCCCATCCTCTGTTGGCTACTTCCAGCAGGATAATGCACCATGTCACAAAGCTCGAATCATTTCAAATTGGTTTCTTGAACATGACAATGAGTTCACTGTACTAAAATGGCCCCAACAGTCACCAGATCTCAACCCAATAGAGCACCTTTGGGATGTGGTGGAACGGGAGCTTCGTGCCCTGGATGTGCATCCCACAAATCTCCATCAACTGCAAGATGCTATCCTATCAATATGGGCCAACATTTCTAAAGAATGCTTTCAGCACCTTGTTGAATCAATGCCACGTAGAATTAAGGAAGTTCTGAAGGCGAAAGGGGGTCAAACACAGTATTAGTGTTCCTAATAATCATTTGAGTGTATATCTGTACTGTTGTCTCTATGGACCTCTGTGTCTTGAATAAAAGTTGATTGGTTGATTGCCAGTCTGACATGGTCAAATGTTGCAATTTTTTTTAATAACTGATATTCTGGCAAAAGAGTGAGAGATTATCCTACTGCTCATAAAACATTCACTATTAGGTTTAAGAGATATAACCAGTTTAGATGGAAAGGATCTCAAACTGACTAGCTGAAGATGTCAATGTAGCTAAACCCATTTAGAGACACGATAATTACTTCCTTGAAAAAAAATTCCAGCACAGCGCATCAACAGCCATAATGAAATGACCCTTCACAATAGATGCATAACAAAGATTACAGAGCTACATGGCAATTTATCTATTTAAAATAGAACCTTGCTCATCTGTTGAGTGATAAAAACTTTTAGCTTTTAGATTTCAAATCCTATGCCACTACCACAAAGACAGTTAGAAAAAGATCCCACGACAAAGTAGCTTGAGCGGAGCAACTTATTTACGGATATGACGAGAGACACACGAGTGACATATGTTCGCAATTTCCCGCAAAAAACATCCCGACAGGTCTAAATAAACACTTATAATAGGCGTAACCATAGTGAAATGGGGTTAAAAAAAATAAAAAAAATTTGGAAAGAGGTTACATAATGTTATGTACTTTTAAAATACATTTCATCCAATAAGTCAATATTTGTGTATAGTATGTATTTGTTTTTGCCTATTATTAAAAGTATTACATTTGTTAGACAGCAAGATGGATCTATAGGTTTTGGAACAAAGAAAAACAATTAAGTAAGACTCAACTTTTAATAAAGCAATTTTGCTTAACTGTTGAAACATGTCCATTAGAGAGGTCTAAATGACTGTGCTTATGGAGTTTCCATGCAGACTTGTATACTGTATTATGACCTTCACATGGCTATGTGTACAGTATATATATGAACATCACATGTGCATGCAACCACACATTGGATCACATTGCATTGCCAAAAAATGGTATTTAAGATGTTCCCGAAAACATCTGCATTGGGGTTTAAATACTGAACTCAGATTCCAGCAACACTCACAAAAGATTGTTTGGTAACTTTGGTTTGAATTAAAAAGTAGTTCTTCCCTTGTTACATGTGATGCTAATTAACTTAACAATGCAATCAACCAAAGACGCACCCACTTCCCGGTTTGACGTTAGACTTTCCATCATGGAAGAAGCACGGTATGGTTAAGAAAAAAAAAACAGTTGCTGTTCTTCCGTGACTGAAACAATGTGCAGTGTACAAATCGCAAATGTCATCCACATGTGAAGCTCTGTATTTGTATAAAAGCATTATCAAACAGGCGCATACTGTAAGAATAAGAATAATACATTTTCCCAAACATGTTTACATAAATTCTTTTGATAAATACAGTGTCGTAGACTTTAAATAACTCATTCTGTATAGATAAAGTTACAGCACAAAAATGTAAACTATCTTGCGAGTGCTTGATTTCATTTCTGGAAAAGTCCATTTGATTTTGGATAATGTGCAACCTCGACATTCTGATAAACAGTTCTGCGAATAGCACTGAAGACATTAACAGCACATGTAACGTGAAATCTGGCAGATGTCAAGCATTCATGTGAAATGTTTAAATAACCCTCTGTGCCATGAGAGGACTTGACTTTATAGTTCAGCGTGCTGACGGGGTGCTTGGGGGTTTGGTGATGGATGTGGAGTTTGTTTTTGGTTAGGCTTCTGCTCTCTGTTGCCTTCCCTGCCCCCATTCTTAATTTTAGGACCCCTCTGGACTGCGTAAGTTGGTGCTTCTTGGTCCATTATTGCCAAAAAGTCAAAGAACGGTACAGGAGGGCCCCATTTCCCATCTGGGATCGAGCCTAAAAGAACAACGGAGAAAAAAAAAAACAGATTGTTGTTGTTGGTGACGTCTGTTAAACTCATTGTTTCATGACTGTTGATGAAGAACAGCTAGCGTAACTTAACACTAACTACTCTCCGCACATGCTACTTGTGACAACAAAACAGCACTTAGGGAGTAAATGATGCTTGATACCTGGAAAACTGAAGTAGAGGAGTTTACTAATGGAGAGTGACAACTGTTTCCAGATGTTTTGGTGTGGAAACTATGTAAATGTAAACTGATCTACTACAATCCCTGTGAAAACAGAGCTGTCTGCATGCTATAACATTGAAATAAAACTATTTATAAATGAATGCAAATCCCTAAACACTGGGGGTTAGGCATTTTATTCTTAGTATTTGTGAAATTAACTCATCTGAATTTACACAATCCAAAAAGAGCCAATTAAATTGACCAAACGTGTGGATCAAAATGTTCTCTAAAGTTTATGTTGGTCGAAAATATAGTACTGTTGAAAAGTTAGGAGTCAGTAAGAAAAAAAAAATTGTATTCAGCAATGATGGATTATATTTATAAACAGTATTTCCACAAAAACATTAAGCAGCACAGTTGTTTTTAACATATGAAATGTTTCGTGAGCAGCAAATCCGCATATTAGATTGATTTCTGAAGGATCATGTGACACTGAAGGCTAGAGTAATGATGCTGAAAATTCAGCTTAACATATATTACAATAGAAAACACTTTGAAATTGTAATAATATTTCACAATATTATAGTTTTTACTGTATTTTTGATCAAATAAATGCAGCCTTGTTAAATATTTCAAAAACAAATATTTCAAAAATAAAATCTTATAGACCCTAAACTTTTGAAAGTTACTGTTAATTTCTACAGAAAAGGGTTCCTTGAATTATAATAAGTAATTATGATACAAATTCAAAATAGTTTTACGGAGTCATGGAGACGCTAAATCAACCTGACACACAGCAAACTGGAAGACCAAACATTGCCTCTGCTGTCTCCACTGAAACGGGCGCATAGACAACACTGAAGACGTGGAAAATATGTGTAGACCTTAGTATCTCTTCCATCCAAAAGAAATAATTGCAGGCTATTTCATGGATATTACTTTGCAAACATTTTTTTGCAGCACACTGATTAAAAACCTGTGCACCCCTGACACCTAAAACAAGCATAACTGGAAGAGTCCAGCAGTTTCTGGTCTTTGAGTCATTTTGGATCAAAACAACTGCTGAATAAATAAATTTGTACACCGCTGTTTAAAAGTTTGGGGTTAATAAGGTTTTTAAAATAAGACTCTAAGCTCATCAAGGCTTTTTGATCAAAAATACAGTAATATTGTGAAATATTATTACAATTTAAAATAACAGTTGTCTAATTTGCTGGACAAAACATTTAAATAGGAATCTTTTGTAAAATTATAAAATGTCTTTACTGACACACATTTTTTTAAATAATGTTCTATGAGGTGAGGTCCACTTATAATGTTATCAAGATTTCTACTTTAAAAAAACGTCCTCATTAAGAATAATAAGCTATTTTCTATCCTGTTTTTGACCCTCTCTTTCAAACACACTGTTTTGATGGGCGTGCCGCATTCAAGACAGTGTTTTTGAGAATCGATATAGTATCACCAAACATAATATTGTTGTGATATTCACACATGTATGGATATTTTCTTTCACCACTATTTACTACTAAAGAAACAATGTTGTAGAAGTAGACGTTGATCATCTTCTGCAGAGACGGTCTTTTGTTTGACACTCTGTATTACACTATGACGTAATAATGTGACACAATCCGAAATTAGTCGTTTTCTGAACTTGGTTTCATTAAAAGCTGTTTTTGGACTAATGAGGAGGTTTTAACTTACAGGATATTTTTATAGTACAATTACATCTTATATGGCAAAAGATGTCGGAACTTTTGAACGGTGGAGTATATTAAACTTGGATAAGACCTAGAACTGCCGGATTTTTGAGCCAGAACATCAGCACTCATCACACTCTGTGGACATGGATCAACAGATGTGGTGGTTTCTACCGTAAAATGCTGGACGACTGCCATGCTTCTACATATGAGGAGATTAACGGACTATCAGTAGCCTATGACTCCTCAGCTCATGAGTCTCCAGCTATCACTAATGTCTGTGGTGCGGTGGGATTAATCAGCCTGCGCAAATGTTGTGCCGCTCTCGAGAAATGCATAGTAACCGACCAAACAAAATGTTGGTTGCTCAAATTACAGGAAAAGCGGACATCTGGGTCCTAGGAATTATTTTGGAAAAGGAGAATGATATTGATTCCAAACACATTTTTGGTGTTTTTTTTCCAAAGACAAGCGTCACTATTAAAATTGCTCATACTTACAGTCAGAGGTTTTTCCCATACCTCAAATAATACAGTTCGTTGAGAAAAGGCGTCGTATTACTTATCCTTTGAATCTGACTTATGATTCGACAGGTGGACTATAAAACAGTCATAGACTTAAACTGAAGAGGGACACAAGCGATATATATAGACCAGAATTCAAACTCTTGTCGCCCCCGAGCGCAAAGGCGGTGAGTCTTGGCGCATCTAAACTAGTGTAACTTGAATGTGTTGATGATACAGAGGGAGACTGACTTGCGAAAGTTTCTATGCGAAATGTGAAATTAAAAAAGAAAAGACTCTTGCTTGGTGCTCAGAGACTGAATCCTTTCTCTGGTCACAGAGAAAAAAGAAGGACAAACCCATGAATGTGTAACAGGAAAGATTACACTACTACCACCCAGTCACACTTGCAGTTTAAGAAGCTAAAACACTTACATTACAGTCATACGGCAGTGAGACAATATACAAACAGCCTAATAAAATCTATTGGGCCATAAGGCAGAAAGGAAACAACTATTGTTTTTCCAACTACCAAGAGTCACAAAACAGGCGCGTATACTGTGGTTCTTTTAACAGCAATACAAAGGACATTTCATTATAATTACACTAATGCTTCAAGGATAAAATTCAGATGATTGTATTTGCTCTGCATCTGACTGGCATATGAAATTTAATAAATATCCTCCGATGGATAAAGTGCTTCATCCATCCTCATAAAACACACATTTTAGCCGACAGACGGATGAAGCCAAGTGCAAAAAGCTGCCAAAAAAGTCCCCAGGCCCCAGGAGTCCGGCAGAAGGTTTCAGGGAAATAACTTGTAACAATCAGACACAATTAAGGGATACAGTTTCCTCTCAGCTTGGTAGGAAGCAGATGGGAGATGCTGAGATGTGGGTATAAAACCAGTCCAGGTTTTGGCGCTGACAAAAGCAAGACCCGCTCTGAGACCATCAGCAGGAATGGAGTGGCGTCTTTGGGGACATCCGAGTGAGAGCGCATTTTGGAAGGGCATCAACAGAGCTGAGTGCTGGATCTGAGTGATTGGGTTTGTTTTATACCACAGGCAACAATAGTGATTGTATTAGGGGAAAAGTGTTGGTGAAGTTCTGAATGGACAGGGTGTGATCTCATAAACATCTTTACTTTGTGCCAGCCTTTTCAGGGCCGTGCAATGACCGATTCCTGGAACTGTGGGCATGTAACAGACATCGATAACCATACAAGGACACACATTTGAAGACATCAAATATGAAGAAATGTGAACAGCAGCTAAAGAGGAGGTGTGAAGGCATTCATATCCTTCATGTTTCCACTGTTTTCACACTAATATTTTTGTAAAATTCATGCAAAATCTTAGCCTGGCAAGCCAGACCTACATCAAGATGCCCAATTGGCATACCTCAATCCGAGGGGCGGGATAAACTCGGCATGCAATAGGACAGCGCTACAACCAACCAGAGCAACGAACGGCTATGGCTGAGTGAGTCCCATGCGTTTTTCCACCAGCGGAGCTAGTTGATATATTAAACTTTTGCCGTATCCGGTCGTCAAAACTCCGAACACATCTTCCTTTTTTAAGAATGACTTAAGTGACGTTCTCTTAACTCCAAATCATCCAGAGTCGCGGCCAAATCCGATTCGAAAGACCGCTGTTCGCCAGCAGCATCTTCTTTGTTTTCAAGTAGCAGGGAATTCAAATCACCTATGGAAATCACGCGGGGGAACCGTCACAACTCTGCCCTCATTATGTTAAGCCCGCCCACCAACTCTATACACGATGTGATTGGCCTGACCAGAGTTTGGTTTTTCCAGCTTGAATGCCAACGGAGAGTTGCTAGACCACACTTTGCTGCAAAATAATTTTTGCTGCCGCTAGATTTCTAGGCTAGCAAAATCTCCTTAATTTTGCCAAAAAGGCAAAGCCAATTCTGAGTAGTTTTTCTATCATGAATGAAAGTGAACTACTGACACAGTGTACATATAGATGCCATTAAATAAGATAAAAATTTGATTTATTGCCCCAAAACTGTGGAATAGCCTTCCACTGTGTTAGAACAGCTCAATCATATTTTGTCGTTTTTAATTTTTTTTAAATTAAAAACCTCTAATTAAAAGATACAGGGACTCACCTGCTGGTTGTTCCTGTCCGTTTTCCACATCATGAATCCACTGCAGGATGTTCTTAGCCGTAAGGGGGCGCTCTGGGGGGAAAAGGAACACCTCTCCTCCAGTTCTTAACTTTGAAATCACCAAAGCGGGAAGTGGAGGTACAAAGCCAAGATACTTCTCCAGGACAGACCTCCCAACAGGTGTCCGACCCCTAGAACAATGAAACCACATTGTTGACAACTAACAAGGGTTTGCTTAAAGAGAATGCATTTTGAATAATGAGTCTAACAGATCATGTTCCTCACAGATGGATCCAACATGGCAGGAAGGAACCCAGCTGTCCAGAGCTCAGTGGACGCTTTATCTCTGCTAAAGACTTCGTACTCTCTGTACTGTCCTCCTTTCCGATAAAAAGCAGTAGCAAAGGTTTCCCAAGCTCCAAATACCAGGGAAGATTCTCCACAGTCAGTTCAGGCTTTAATGCAAAACAAATTTTCATCTTGTTAGTGAGTTTTTGGTTGTTCACCAAAAGGCAAACCAAAATGTTGTTAAGGCAACATTATTATTATTTATTTTATTCAAGTCTTCATTGATTATTTGTATTTTATTTCAGCTTTATTTGAAATAAAAACAATTTAATAGTTATAGTTTAGTATAAAAACACTGTTAACTACGTCAATGCGGAGAGACAGTCAATTCAAATGACTTAAATTCCACTAAAACACATGTGATTTCAATATAACGTACCATTGAGCAACTGTGAAGCATGGTGTTTAGAGACTAGAGTGAATTTGCAACTATGCTACCAAAACAACTTACAAAATGATCCAGTTCCACTCGTTTTATGAGTGAGACCTGGTCCGTTGGTGAGGATGATGGGATAGAATAGACTTCATAAGGAACTCCAGGGCCGCGGGATACCAGTAAAGCAGGCAGGTTCACTGACAGTCCTTCTACCCTGATCAAATACAGAGCAGTCAGCTGGAACGCTTTCTTACACTACACTGAAAAGTCCACACATGTATCATCTTGTTAAGACGCTTAACATCTTTTGAAATGCAAGATATAATCTTAAGTTGATTACATCATCAAAATAGTTGTGGTAAAACGGTCAGATACCATTGCTCCGCCTCTTTGTTGGCAAATAGCCCAAGAATTGTCTCTCCTCTGAGGAGTCTTGCAGCTTCTTCAAATGAGGTCACACCTAAAACATAAAGTGCACCAGATTGAGAGATTCATGGGCATATCAATACATGCTACACCCAATAAAATACACCCATTTTAGTTTCCATAATATAAAATGAAGAATGCACCATACAAGTAGAATATAACATTTTAAGAGGTTGGTCATATACAGTAGTAAGCCAAAACCAGTAGTAAGTTGCAATCACGTCCATTTGCCACCATCTCTCTGACCATTACAATTAAACAGTCTGCTATGGGATAGTTCACCAAAAATCATTTACTCACCCTCATGTCATTCCAAACCGTAACATAAAAGAATATATTTAGAAAACTGCTGGTAACAAAACAGTTTTGGTAAGCATTGACTTCCATATGGACAAAAAAGAAAAAGAAAAAGAAAAGAGACATTTTTCTAAATATCGTCTGTGTTCCATAGTAAAAAGAACATAGTCATACAGGTTTGGAATAAAATGGGGGTGAGTAAATGATGACAGAATTTTAAGTTTTTACTGTCACTTTTGATCAATTTGCTCCTTGCTTAAAGGTAGGGTAGGCAATGTTTTTTAATAAACAATATTTGTTATACTGGTTGAAACTCTCTTCACATCCTGATCAATAATAGAAGTGGTCAAAATATTTAGAAAATGTCTCAGGACCAAGAAATGTTTGCCCAATCATTGCATTCGGTTCGCTCTGAAGGGAGGGTGGGATCTAATGATTTCAAAGCTAGCTTGCTATTGCTAGCCTCTCTGAAATTGCCTACCCTACCTTCAATAAAATAATCTTACTGATAACAAACAACTTTTTAAAAAAAATAAAAAAATAAAAAAATCACTTTTCTTATACTACATCAAATTATATAAAGAAAAATGAGGAAATAAAGGATAGAGGAACTTATGCATACATCAACTAAAATCACAGACCAGTCAGTTAAAAACCATTACAAAAATGCTCCGAAAAGGGATGTTGATTCCACTTTTGTTATTTTATTATCTAATGCAATGACTTAAATGTCCGAATCATTTTTAAGGCCACTGTAAAAGTAAAACATTTTATTATGTGGAGATCAGAGAATGATTTTTCTTTATTATTGGCTGGACTTTAGGTGAACTCATTCTTTAAGGATTCTCAACAGTATATCTATCCTGTATCTATCACATAGCAGTGATTCCAGGGAAAAGAGACCTTACCTGTGTCTTGCGTTGAACTGAACAGGCCCAGCACTCTGACAGCGGACAAATATACATGTTTACTGTACAAATCTCCCTCTAAGAATGACGTCACCTCAGCAGAGGAGGATAGATGTGAAGGACTGGAGACCAGACTCCTGCAAGAACAAAATTAACTCATTAATAAACATTACTGAGGTGTGGAATGTTCAATTGCGATGTTTTTATTAAAGAATATTGGTTTTTCGAGTGGGAATGTAGGCAGAGCATTTACTGTCACTGCACTGTTGTCTTGGGATTAACTATTAATTGATTTTTGATGGTGCTCTACAGATAAGACACCATAATTGCCATTATCAGCTCAAAACCATATTTGAACATATAATAGAAGGCAAACTGCAAATGCACACTGTAGCACTCGACTCTTGCACACAATCATCAGGACACTAATTTAAAAAGACGCCCGCTTTCAGGTTAATCCTGAGTGACAGACTAAATCACACCCAGAGGATCGGACTTTGTGTGAGAAAGAGGACGTGAAACTCACAGTAGTATGAACGTGTGTAGGCTCTTGGTTCCCAGCATGCCTCTGTACGGCTGAGCAGCAGTCATGGGGCGGTAGATCATAACGGTGGGGAAGGAAGTGATGTTCTGATCACTGCAAATATCAGTCAATTCTCCACAGTCTACAGCTGCCAACTCCACCCCACTCACACCTGAACACGATAAAGAAAGTGACAGAGCAAGAACAGTGCATTTAGTGAATGCTGATATTAATTACAAAGTCTTCGCCACCCTAACTAACATTAGTGGAATTTTTTTTAACATTACATGTGGTGTCATTTGATAAAATGGACACAAAAATGGTGCATCTTTAAATCCCTTGACGTTTTAATTATGCAATCTTCAGGTGTGAGAAAGTATTTGCCCCATATATTTGTGTATGTATGTTGATCCAAACCTGCATGACTTAATGTGGAACACAGCACAGAAGATGATATTTTGAAAAATGTCTGTTTTGTCTGTACAATAATGAGATTCTAATATTGTTTGGACCCCAAAATGCTTCAAAATGTATTCTTTTTTTCATTCCACAAAAGAGAGAAAGTCATACAGGTATTAAATGACGAGAGTAAATAATGACAGGATTTTATTTAGTTGTATAAAAATCAAATTATTTCTAGAAAGATGATTAAATAAAAGATAAAGGAAATAACTGCATAGATCAACTAAAATCACAGACCAGTCGGTCAAAAATCGTTACAAAAAAGCTCAGAAAAGGGATGCTGGTTCTGAGGAAAAAGTTCAACATTATTTGTTTGCAGATTCCACTTATTTTATTATCTAGTGCAATGACTTAAATGTCCAAATAATTTTTAAGGCCACTGTAAAAGCAAAACTATTTATTATGTGGAGATCAGAGAATGATTTTTCTTTAACATTGGCTGACAATGGATTCCATCAAAATGAATCTAAAAAAATAAATAAATAAAAAATAACTCAATTTACAGCATTTCTACATTCTGCAACTCAGGCAATTGTGTTCATCATTGAAATGCTTTTACCTTCAAGTGCATCCGCCACCTCTATATATGACTGAATAAAAGCCACACAGACAGCATCCCCTAGAGGACAAAAGTGGATACATCAGGTTCATAGATTCCTCTAATACAGCAAATATAGTGAGATAAATATTAAAACTTACATTTAAAATAGAACAGCACCACCGTGATATCATTCTGCGTGACTGTAGTTTGAAAAGTGTCTGATGTGAGTTCAGTAACAGACTCCAAATCCGGCATTTGATCACGATCTCTGTACACAGACTCTGACACCTCATCATCAAGGATATCTGGATGAAGTCAACAAGATCTTTAGAACCAGTTTAAAACCATTCTAAGACCTAGTTAGCAATGATCACATAGGTGGCATCTTACCAAGATCTGACCACTGTTCCTCATCTCCCTCTTCATCTTCAATCTTGTGTTCTTGCAAAAGTTCTTCTTTGAAAAGTTTCATGACCTCCTCTGCACTATTTAGGGTAAAATATTTCACATCCTGTTGACAAAGGTTCTTGTTAGAAACAGATTTTTCAGATAATAACAGCCACATTCAAAGGTTAAACTGACCTCCTGTGGGAGTCTGTAAGCAGCGTTATATTTCAGTGGAGTTTTCACGTTTGGACTTTCCCTGAAAAATAAAAAAGATACAGTGTTGACTAAAAATAAGATCTGTGGAAGCCGATTTGGAGATGTGTATTTGGATGCTGTAGCAAAACTGACCCCATTTCCTTTTACTCTTATTGTGCATGATTCATTAGTACATCCTATCCCAAGAAAAGTTTTTCATAATATTCACCAAAATCTAAGAACTTTCGATGCTTCCAACTTTTGTTTTTAATTGATGGGAAAATAAATATTACCAATGATATCATATTCCTCAAATCCAGACAGATAAAAACCAAACCTACAATAAGGTGTATACAACATTAATGTAGTTAATGTGACAGTTAAAGTGTCTAACAATAAATAATACTTTTATTATTATCAATCTTGGATAATGCTTATTTTTGTGTACACTAATTCATTAATAACATACAAATTAGTACATATTAAAACATTGTTCAATGCCCTAATTTATCAATTAATTTATCAATTATTTAGTGATTATTTTATAATTAGTACGATTTTTTTCTGGACAGAAATGAATGCTTTTATTCAGCAAAGATGCATTAAATTAATCAAGTGATAGCAAACACATTTACATTTCAAATAAATGCTGATCTTTCTATTCAGCAAAGAATCCTTAAAAAAAATTTAGAATGGTTTTGAACCTGTAAAACAAGATAGCAAAAATATTAAGCAGCACAACATTGCTGCTCAAGAAACATTTATTATTATTATCAAATCAGCATATTAGAATGATTTCTAAAGGCTCATGTGACACTGAAGGCTGGAGTAATAATGATCACAGGAATAAATAACATTTTAAAATATAAGATTATAAGATATTATAAGATTTTTATAAACTTACAAACTTAATTTTTTACTTACTTAAAATAATATATATTAAATAATATATAATATAAAAAATCTATATATAAACATTAACCAAGACAATAATAAAACACTGTAAAAAAATATGGTTAGTATCATGACATTTAATGCATTAGCCAATTGCTTATTTAAAGTTATATTGCGCTATTGTTTTCATTGTCATCATCAGTACCTGGAAATGAGCACTACGCCAACCTCCCCGCGGAGCTGCAGGGCGAGAGTTTGAGCGGTGGCACGGTCCAGGTGCTGGGTTTGGGGCTGAGAGAACAGAAACAGCACGGGCACACTGAGGTGGATATGAACCACATCTACCTCAGAGGGGTCCACCTCGGCCTCTGTCTGCCAGAAAAGTCCAGAATTGGATCAAAACAGAATGGATAATGAACATATGAGAGAGACTTGAGAATCAGAAAAACTCCTTTCATCATGCCGGTAAATGGCATAAATGTCAGGAAGTAGAAGATGCTTACTCACCACTAGAGGTGCCTCCATCAGCTGGAGGAAGGTGTGTATGTTGATGGTTTTGAGTGGTTTCCTCATGGGAATGCTGGGGCATGGATCAGACTGGCTGGACACACCTTTACAGTGCAAAAACCACAGTCGTGCTTGTGAGGAAGAGGAATCAACGACCCTGTACAGAACAAGATACATTTGAGGGACACTAAAGAACCAGAACAATTTGTTATCATTTAAGACAAAACTGAACAATATCTATTAAAGTGCCCCTATTGTGCTATTTTAAAGGTTCCTAATTTTTTTCCAGAGGTCTCCTACAATAGGTTTACATGCATCCAAGGTCACAAAACCCTTTGATTTCCTCGTAATACACTTGCAGCATCTCTTCATTTCTCACAGTCTCTGAAAACAATAGGTTACTGTCGTAACCCCGGTTCTCTGAAACATCGAGTGGAGAGATCCACCTATGGGAAGGGCATCCGTACCTGACCTCTGCAGAAGCATCCAATTGCACCAAGTCTGGCTAACAGACAGAAGCGCGCAGCCAATGCCAGGTGAGGCCACACCCCCTTACCTACGGGCATATCACAGCTGGGCGCGCTGCTATTCCTCAGTCAGTATATTCGCTTCTCGTGCGGCAAGCGGGGCAAGGCTGGTGGATCTCTCCACTCGATGTTTCAGAGAACCGGGGTTACGACAGTAACCTATTGTTCTCTTTCATCATCTCGTTTCGAGATCCACCTATGGGAGAGACATGGACAGCTCCCCGATTGCCCAATACACTCACAGTGAGGTTCTGAAGGCCAGAGAAGGACGGTCACCTCAGAGAGGCGGTGCCTGACACGTCCCACAAACATGACCCTGCAAGTTTTCCGCCACGCTAACTGCTGTGGACAAGCAGGGCATGAAACATGCATGAGACACATACATGATAATGGCCCCTGCACCACCAATGCACATAGCTAAACCCAAGAAGGAATGCGAATGCTTGGTGACAGGAATGAACATGGCCAGCCGGCCCATTCACTCCTCGTTGGTTAACCAAACGGGGCTGTGGGAAAGGGCTAAGAGGACCCTACCCCTAGGACCGAGTGTGCCACCGAAGTTCTGGTGACATCCAACCGGTAGTAACGCTCAAAGGTATGAGGAGAGGCCCAGCTGGCCGCGGAGCAGATGTCCTGCAGTGGCACTCCCCTGAACAAAGCCCAAGAGGCGGCTAAGCCCCTTGTGGAATGAGCTCTGATGCCCCTTGGGGCTGCACTCCCTTTGCTTCATAAGCCATAGTATAGCGTCCACAAGCCAATGTGAGAGGCATTGCTTTGAAATGGGACTCCCCTTGTGCAGGGGAGCCCTAGAAACAAAGAGCTGGTCGCTCTTGCGGAAAGCACTGGTCCTGGTCATTATGCTTGCAGAGCACGGACGGGACACAGAGCATTCAGCCCCTGATCCTCCGGGGAGGCAAAGGGTGGAGGGTGAAAAGCGGATAGCTCCAAAACCTCCGACGTGAACGCAGGGAAGCATTTCGGCATGAAGGCCGGGTTAGGCTTAAGGAAAACCTTATCTCCACTTAGGGAGAATTTGGCGCACGAGGGGTGAACCGAGAGTGCATGTAGCTCACTGACCCGTTTAGCAGATGCCAAGGCCGAGAGCAAAGCTGTCTTGAGGGACAGCAGCTTAAGGGAAATACTCCCCAGAGGCTCAAAAGGATACAGAGACCGCGCTTCCAGCACCATGGAGAGGTCCCACTCTGGGACAGATTCAACAGATCTCCTGATGACCAGCAAAGAGCGGCGTGCACCCTCCATAAATCTGCGGGTTAGAGGGTGCTGCCTGACGGTGGAGCCCCAAAACCCACATGACAGGCTGAAATCGCAGCCAGGTAGACCTTAATAGTGGAAAAGGACCTGCCTCTTTCCATGAGGTCTTGCAGGAAACACAAAATATCAGGCACCGAGCACTGATAAGATGTGAAACCACGCCCATCATACCACCCTTCGAACACTTGCCACTCACAGCCATATAGGGATCGCGCGGAAACGGCCCTGGCCTTCTGAGTAGTGGCGATTACACGCGGCGGGAGCCCCAGTGCATTTTGGTTCGTCCTCTCACGGGCCAGGCCCAGAGAGCCACCCTGTCCGGGTGGGGGTGGTAAATCTCCCCGTTGGCTTGGGACAGTATGTCCGTGCGAGGGGGGAGGCGCCATGGCTCGGCGTATAACAGAGGGATTATCTCTGCCAGCCATGGGGCTTTGGGCCACCTGGGTGCTATTAGAGTGAGAGACAGGCCGTGCTCTCTCACCCTGGCCAGAGTGAAAATTATCAGGCACAGGGGAGGAAAAGCATACAACAGCACTTTGGGCCATGGGTGGGCCAGTGCGTCTGCCCCGAGGGGCGCGTCCATGTCCTTTAGCGAGAAGAACATAGGACAATGGTGATTTTCGCGCGAGGCGAAAAGATCTACGGCTGCCTGTCCCATCTCATCCATAACCTCTCCACTATCTGCGGGTGAAGACGCCAATCCCCGTGGATTGGGTTTCCCCTCGATAGCAGATCCGCGCCTCTGTTCCGAATGCCCGGGACATGAGTCACGCGTAATGACAGAAAAACCTGTCTGCTCCACACCAAAAGCCTGTAAGCTAGAGCGTGGAGTTTTGACGAGCGCATGCCACCCTGACGGTTGATATAAGCCACTACCGTGGTATTATCGCACCGTACTAGAACAGGATGTCCCTGCAGGCAAGGCAGAAAATGATTCAGAGCTTTCCAAATAGTAAAAGCTCTAAATAGTTAATGTGCGCTGAACGTAGTCTGCTCAGCCACAGACCGTTCACCGTTCTGCCTTCCTGGGTGGTTCCCCAGCCTGTTAAGGACGCATCTGTCGTCAAAACTTTTCGCATCGTACCGTCCCGAGGGGGGGTTCCCCGTGCGTAAAAGTTCTCGCTCACCCAATGGCGCAAGGCCGCCGAGCAGGCGCGCGTCATCGTTACCGAGCGGCAGAGATCGCAAATCGGGCTGAAATGTAGTGTACAAAACCCATTTCGTGAACGTTCTCATTCTCAGGAGACCAATGGCACAACTTGGATAGATGAAGCCATGAGATCCTGCAGCCTGAGGCATGTGCGATATTGTACTCTCGCCCCTTCACTGAACTGAGACAGACAGTCCATCAGCGAGCGAACGCGCTCTTGAGAGAGACGCGCTCGCATGGAGACTGAGTTCAATTCCAAGCCCAGGAAAATGACATTCTGACTGGGAGTCAGATTGTTTTCGCTCGCATTCACCTTGAACCCGAGGGATGTGATGTGCGCGAGCACCCGGCCGGTGTCCAGCGACACCTTCTCCTTTGATTTGGCTATGATGAGCCAGTAAGTCAGAATTCTCAGCCCTGATAGTCTCAGGGGCGCCACGCCCACCTCCACACACAGACAGAAAGTTCGGGGACTCAAATTGCACCCGAACGGAAGAACTGTGAATTCGTAACAAACGCCTTGGTAGGCGAAACGAAGATATTTCCTGTGTGGAGGGTAGATGCTTATGTGAAAGAAAGCATCTTTCAGATCGACTGATGTGAACCAGTCGTTCTGCTTTATGGCACAGGCGAGAGAGGCTTGTGTCACATTCTGAAATTGAATTTCCTCAAATGTTTGTTCAACACTCGAAGGTCCAATATAGGGCGGGGGGGCGCCACGCCTTTTGCGGAGCGGAGCTGTATGGGCCCAGCTGGTTCATTTGTGATGCAAAGGCGCCATCTAGTGGGAACACTAGAGGCAACATGCAGGGGTTTGGAGGGATTTCCTCTCTCTGCAGTGAGAAGTTTTCTTTGCGGAGAGAGGTCTTCTCTCCAAAACGAATTCATTTGATTCGTAGCTTTGTGTGTTTTGTGTTGGGCAAACACTGGGGCCAAAGCCTTTATTGACAGAGTGAGGGAAACATAGTGTGGTGTCCACTGTACTGAACTTTCCCTCACAAGGTGTCCCCAAAAGTGGGAAAAACACATATCTCCTGAACACATGAACTGGGCAGTCTCAAGTGCAGGCAGAAAAATAATATCCGCGGAGAGAGATACTCTCTCTGTAACGGATTTATTTAATGTTTTTTTTTTTTTTTTTTTTTAAGTGTTATTTAGTTATGTGTGTGTTTTGTGTTGGGGAACACAGGGGCCTTACACACACAACGTCCACTAAAAACACATCGGCTGGACAGCCGCAACTGAGCTGTGTGAGCCCAGTTGGTTGATTTATGAGGCAATGGCGACCTCTTGTGGACGGACTCAGGGCGACATGCATGGGATCAGAGAGATTTGCTCTCTATGTTGCCGCTGGCAGATATATAAATCTGCACGAATTCATTTGATTCGTTTATTGAATGTGTTGTTTAGTAATGTGTGTGTTTGTGTTGGGAAACACTGGGGCCGAAGCCTTTAATAACTGGGTGAGGGGAACCAAGTGCGTGCGGTGTGGTCACACTGCTATGTACTTTTCCTCACGACAGCCCCCTCCCCCGTAACTTGTTGTTGTGGGGGGGAGGGGGACACACACACACAACGTCCACTAACATACGGGCTGGGCAGCCACGCGAGGGGATTAACCGACCGTAGGTGGGAGACCCTGTTAGTTAACGTTACTCCCAATGGTCGAACAACAGGCAGGCCGCTTGCGTTCGGGACCGCCTTCCTAGGAAGGCATACATTGAAAACCTCAACACGTAATCGTAACAAATCAAGGCCCGTGAGACCGTGTTAACAGTCTAGCGGGACGCTCCGGCCGTTCAGACTGGGCGGTGGTCCCAGCGTTTACCCGTCGTACATATTCCTATCCTGGTCGGTGGCGCTCTGTGGAGCTGGCCACACAATGTTGAAACGAACGGCCGCTCGCTCACAAACTTCCAGGAGGATGGACGGAGGCAAAGCCGCGTGAACGCTAGCCTAGGGAACGCTAAAAGGACCGCGTCATCCCCGTCGCCGGAACCGACCGGTTCGTCAACGAGAGTGAGGTTTTCCCGCAAAGATGTCCTCTTCAGGGAATGCGGATTGGGCTGATGTCAGCTCAAATATTTTAGAGAGGTGGCGCTCCGGGAGTCCCCCGGTAGCGCGTCATCATCACCGTGTCTCTCCTCCGAGTCAGAAAGGCCGAGCACGGCGCGCTGTGTCGTGCAACTAAAAGCCGGCTTAGTAAAAGCTACATGGGCAGCAATTACAATGACCGCAATTCCCCGGGTTCTCCAAAGCTTGAGCGTGTTAAGCCCAAGCAGACCGCGCAGAACGAGAGGGTCCTTATAGCGGCGATGAGAGCACCACACGCGGCCGGGCAGGCTCGTCGTGCTAGGCTGTTCCCCGGGGGAAGCGGCTGTTTAGACGGTCACATAGCCATGGGCGGGCCAGCGGTGAAGAACTCGGAAAAATCCGTGGCGGGCAGCCATGTAAAGGAGGAGCAGGTGAAGGACAGCGAGAGCTCGGGCGGCTCCGGATGCAAAAAACACAGCGGATAGGCTGAAGAAACGACTGTCACTCACGTCTGGCGGAGGCTGATCTGGCGATTGCGATATGTCCTCCTGAAGACTCGAAAGTGAGCAGCGTAACGTTAATCCAACCAAACTGTGTCAATGCAGAGATCGCGAGAAGCGAATGTCAACTGAGGAATAGCAGCGCGCCCAGCTGTGATATGCCCGTAGGTAAGGGGGTGTGGCCTCACCTGGCATTGGCTGCGCGCTTCTGTCTGTTAGCCAGACTTGGTGCAATTGGATGCTTCTGCAGAGGTCAGGTACGGATGCCCTTCCCATAGGTGGATCTCGAAACGAGATGATGAAAGAGAACGTTTGATTAAGGATTCGGTCTCTCTAAATCTCTCCTATCTGAGAGCTACTCTGATCTGATTGGTCAGATGGCCCAGTCTCTTGTGATTGGTCTACCGCTTACAGCTCATGTCGGAAACAAAATGCCCATTATCGTATCTGAATTTTAGCTCCGGAGACAGTAACTCTTTGATCTTTGAAAACTTGCAGACCTTTTCCATTCACATACAGCTATATTACACTCTACATCAGGGGTGGGGAACGTCCGGCCCCTGGGCCGTAACCGGCCCGCAAAACAGTTTGATGCGGCCCGCGAGTCAAATCCCCCCCCCCCCCCCCCCCCAAAAAAAAGAACTTCAGAACCTAAAATCTCAGCAATTACTTTTCCTGTGACAGAAAACACAAAATAGGCAAAGTGGCAAGCAGGGCGAGGCCAGTAGCGCGAGTGTTAATGAGTCACCTGCGCACCGGTTTCAAGTTTCTCACGGATGACCTTCGGGGCGCGTAAAAGGATCGGAACGAAGACAGCGGAGGACCAGGCATGGACTTTACTTTATGTGTGTGTGGTCGTCGTCCACGAGGAGCTACTGCTTTTACTTTCGTTTTGTCATTTGCGTATTAATGTATTAAAGTGGTTTAAACGTTTGCCGGTTCCCGCCTCCTTCTTCCCTGAACAAACCAACCACGTTACATTTAATATAATAGATAATATACAATATTATAAAATAACATAATATATTATAAAATAACATTAGAGAGTCGACGTTTCCGGGTGGTCGCTTCCGACTGTGTCCGGGTCACAGTCAGAATGAACGCAACAGACACGTAACGTTAGCGGTTGTCATCGCTGATATGCATCATGGCGACTGTCAAAAAAGGTAAGGTAGATTCGCCGACAGCAAGTGGTATGAGTGGCCGACTAAAAGAGGAATGAGTCTGTGCTGATTTAGTGGAAAGAGTTAAGCCCAAGCTGTGGAAAGAGTATTATATTATGTGACTGTTTTTGTGCTTTTATCCACCTCTAAATAGCTATAAATTAAGCTTATGTCGTTTTAGTTTCATATTGTTAATTATTAGTTTCATAGGTTGTTAAACCTAAGACGAACTCTTTCATATTGCGCTGCATTACTGTCAGTGTTGTTGACTACTGAAGCCCCGTTCACACTACACGCGACCAAGCGACGCGATACCATTCATTTCAATGGGGAGCTGGCGATTTCCGGCGACACGCGCGACAGCGACCGTTGGCGACCGGATGGGGCGTGTCTGGCGACGCGACAAAGTTGGGATCTGTTTAACTTTATGCAAATGAGGAGCGACTTTCGGGAGCGACAACCAATAGGAGCGGAGCGTGTATGATCCTTCTCCACATCATTGGATGTCATTCATAAAGCCAACCAGTAGTGGGAACTCCCACTAGCGACCTCATCGCCAGCCACTGGCGACATGCAGCGACAAAGTCGCTTGTAGTGTGAACGGGGCTTGACGGTTGCCTATAACAATGTCATCAGGATACACATACACCGGTAGGCAGTGGCCCACCTTACCGGGTGACCACGTCGTGGTCCACCAGAATTTATAGTTTACCCACCTCTTTTTTTTACCACTACACCTCTGAATAAAACGTAAAGGTTGTTAAACCTGAGACGAACTCTTTCATATTGCGCTGCATTACTGTCAGTGTTGTTGACTACTGAAGCCCCGTTCACACTACACGCGACGCGATACCATTCATTTCAATGGGGAGCTGGCGATTTCCGGCGACACGCGCGACAGCGACCGGATGGGGCGTGTCTGGCGACGCGACAAAATTGGGATCTGTTTAACTTTATGCAAATGAGGAGCGACTTTCGGGAGCGACAACCAATAGGAGCGGAGCGCGTATGATCCTTCTCCACATCATTGGATGTCATTCATAAAGCCAACCAGTAGTGGGAACTCCCACTAGCGACCTCATCGCCAGCCACTGGCGACATGCAGCGACAAAGTCGCTTGTAGTGTGAACGGGGCTTGACGGTTGCGCTGTTGACGCTCGCGCAGAAATCTACACAAATGAGCGCACACACACACACTCAGTTAACAACATAGTGCCTATAAAAAATCTAAATGTGGAGTTTTTATATTTTTAACATATGTTAAGCAACCTCAATTATTTTTTCCTGAACACCATCACGATTGAAAATGTGACATTAATTTCCAACAACAGTTCAATAAACAGTTAATATTAAGTCACTTACATTTTAGATGCAATATTGGCTGTTTTTGTTCTGTTTCAGCAGCGAAAATAGTTCCAAACAAAAATCACAGCAGAACCCTAATATTGTCTCACAGGAACACTCGACCTGTTTTCATTACTGAATGATTCAGCATTTTGAACGAATCGATTGAGTCAAAGATTCAATGACCCATTCATAAACATCTGTCTCAATCTTGAATGAATCAGCCGTTTGAACAAATCGTTTGAATCATGAATGAATCAATGACTCACTCATCAAGACGGTCCCCTGCCGCCACCTACTGGCGGTTTGTGTTATGTTTAAAAGTAGATCATTCTTTCCAACGTTTCTTATTTGTAAATTTAAATCAATTTCATAACATTATTTTATGCAATTGTAATTTTTCAGTGTAAATGATTTAATTTGATCAGCCCTATAGTGTCTTATTATTCGAAATAATTTAATTTATTGATCAAATTTAGGAATTTAAAATGAAAGATGAAGCATACATTTAATAATATTGGGGGAGGGGATGCCCTTTAAAGGTGCAAATATTACAATATGCCGATTTAAATATCAAAGCTAATTGAACACTGATGAGAATATTGTTTCAGAATAAATTAACAACAAAAAAAAAAAAAAAATCCGGACGAGAAACTTTTTTACTCGGACAAGTGAATGACAGATTACTTGTCCGAAGGACAAGCGTATGAAAGGCTTAATGTCGAGCCCTGCCTATAGCAATGTCATCAGGATACACATACACCGGTAGGCAGTGGCCCACCTTACCGGGTGACCACGTCGTGGTCCACCAGAATTTATAGTTTACCCACCTCTTTTTTTACCACTACACCTCTGAATAAAACGTACGAGTCCCAGTCATGCCGACCCTCTCTTCTTCCTTCCAAACACTGAACCTCATTACAATGGCCCTTAAAGAATGTTAAAAAATTGTAAATGGCCCTTGATAGGAAAAAGGTTCCCCACCCCTGCTCTACATGATGGGTAATGATATCCAAAAAAAAAGCATAATAGGGGCACTTTAATAAAATGTTAGCTGACTATATTGTGGTTGTTAGATATGCAAACATCTGATGAGAACTTTAGAACGACACTGGGAACACCTTGTGGCCATTTTTTAAATACTTTAAGAGGGCTTGAAAGTATATCACTCTTTAGAGTAATGTTAAGCTCACCCCATGTGTTTCAGAACTAGAGAGCCAGTTGTCTGGACAAACTGGTACTTGGTTCCATACACAAATGCTGCCTCCATCAAAGCTCGGTGCTCTGTTCGGACAAAGAAACAAGAGATGTTATTGCTTCATTCCAATCAAGAAAACGGACTCTAAAAGCAAAATACACAGAGAATTGAGATCGTACCTGGAAGGCCAAGCACCGGTATGTGTCCGACCACAATGTCAGTGTTTTGTTTGGCCGCACTCTCCACGCGCAGCAGCTCAGCAGGTGTGTGTACGTAACGGACTTCATTGAAGAGGACCGAGCTGAATGGAGGATAAAAGGTAGTCACTGTAGTTCCATCAGGCAAAATATGAAGATCTTTAAACGTTGTTGCTACTGTACGTTTTAAATAAGAACTCACAAAAGGACATGAGAAACAATCGCGTTGACGTCAAATACGGTATCGATGTCAAAACTCCTAAGGACCTCAGAGCCTCTGGAATGATAAAAGACAAAAATAAAATGGGATTCATGTCGTTCCAGGCCTGCATGACTGGAGTCATATTGACCATTTTTACAGCACTTTCTTATCATTTTTGATGCTGAACTCATTCACCTTCACAGTATGGCAAACATATCCTTCTGTGTTTTATGGATAAAAGAAAATCATATGGGTGTATACACTGCCGTTCAAAGGTTTGGGGTCAGTAAGATTTTTAAGAAGTAAGAAGTCCCTTATGCTCACCAAGGCTACATTTGATAAAAAATACAGTAAAAACAATAATATCGTAACATACATTAACAAATAAAATAACAGTTCTCTTACGAGAGGTTCTCTCGTATTGCGTAAGCTAGCTTACGCTACGGAAAAGATTAATCTTTTCTGAGAAATTGAAGCCAAAAAATTATCCTATAATTTTGTATCCATTGTCAACGCAGTTCAGCTGCAGCAGAGCATGAGCGGGCTAGCTAGCAGCTCATTGGTTCGCTCACAGAGAACTGCTTAAGCCTATGAGGAGACGCGAATGAACTCTCGGCCAATGAGAGTCTGACATGCTCTCATTGCGTCAGAGCCCGCCGAAACGGGCGTGGTCAGAGAGTATAATATTGGCGTCCTAGGCTGTAAACTCTGATTTTCATCTCTTCAGCGAGGCTACACGCATCTGCTGATCCTGAGAGAAGCCGCCGTGGTCGAAAAGGCAACTCTAGCGAGCATCTGGGAGACTGAGGAAGCCGGCAGACTTCGCCACCTTCAGCCGTCCTGCGAGCTAGCGCCATCCGACGGATTTGTATCCTTTTTACAAAAAGCTTCCTGTACATTTAGTATAGAGCTGAGCGTCTTTTTAAAGATGTCTCGTATATCTTCCTGCGGTTCTTGCCGCGCTCCCCTCGAGAATGGAGACCGCCACGTCTCTGCGCTCTCTGCCTCGGATTGGAGCACGCCGAGCTCGCCCTCGCCGATGGCGGCTGCGATCTCTGCGAAGACATGCCATTGTCGACCCTGCGGGTTCGACTTCAGGCCACTAAAGTTGCTTCCGCGCCGCCTCTGACTTCGCAGCGGAAGAAGAAACGCCGCTCTCAGAGGCCGCCGGAACCCCAACCAGAAGCATTAATTCCGCCGGAGCCTGTCGCCTCCCGCTCTCCTTCTCCGCCGCTTCCGGACATCCAGTTGCCGCCGAGTGGCCGCTCTGTCGCCTCCGATGACGCCGCGGACATCAAGGAAACATGTTCGCTTCTCGCCTCGGACAGTGAGGAGTGGTCCGGTTCTCACGCCTCCTCGGCTCGAGAATCCTCCGGGACCCACGCTGGAATCGAGGAGGAATTAGTGCGCCTCCTCTCACAGGCCGTCGAACGCCTCGGGCTCGATTGGTCTCCTCCCCCCGAGCAGACCATCAACCGTATGGACGGCAGCTACTTCCGCCAGCGCTCGACTCCCGCCACTAAACGGGCCGCGCCCTTCCTGCCTGAACTGCACGCGGAACTCACGAAGTCCTGGAGCGCCCCGCTCTCTGCTAGAACTCGCTCTGACTCTTCCACCCTGCTTCGCGTTGTGGAGGGAGCCACAGAGAAGGGTTATCTCTCCATTCCCCCTGTAGAGGACCTGGTCGCCGCACATCTTTGTCCGCCCTCCACGAGATGGCACTCATCACCTGTGCTCCCCTCTAAAGCCTGCAGAGCGACTCCTAGCTTTCACGCCCGCGCTTACTCAGCCGCCGGCCAAGCAGCCTCTGCACTTCACTCCATGTCCGTCCTTCAGATACTACAGGGTGACATACTTCGTGAATGGGACGAGAGCGGAAAAAATCCCCCTTCAGTCGCGGATTTGAGGAGCGCCACGGACATTGCCCTTCGCGCTACAAAATCTGCTGCTCAAGCCCTGGGGAAATGCATGGCCGCCATTTGTGTGTCTGAGAGACATTTGTGGCTCACACTCGCCGACATGGGAGATTCTGAGCGCGCCGCCTTTCTCAACGCCCCGCTCTCTCCATCCGGCCTCTTCGGATCTGCTGTCACGGGTATCGTCGACCGATCTTCCGAAGTGCAGAAAGCCTCCCAGGCCATGAATCTCTTTCTGCCTCGTCGCGCTAGCTCCTCTGCAGGCCGCTCACGTGACCTGCCTCCTGCACGAGCCCCACCCCAGCACAGTCAGACTTTTCAGCGACGCCAGGGCGGCCGCCCGCGTTCTCGCTCTGACAGCCGCCACAGACCGCCGCCTCCTCGGGGGCCTCGGCCTAGGATCGCGGTGAAACCTGATCACTCGAAGTCTGCCTAGCACAGCTGAGAAAAAGACGGCGCTCTCCCGCCGCGGCCGGACCGCCGTCAAAGTTTTGCTCTCTGTTAGTCCCCGCGCACGCGGCTACTACAGCAGTGTACTCCGCCATTACCAAGCCGGTCCCCCTTCCTGCTTGCATGAGCACAAACGCCGTTTTCATGGCGACCCAGAGAAATCTCATAAAGAGCATAAAAGCCTCCTGTGTAAAAAATGTGCCCACAACACTGTGTTCACTCATACACAAAAGCACTTCAGTTCCCGTGTTTCACACAGAGTCCACTCTCATAAAGCGGTTCCAACCCGCTCGAGTTTCAGAGTGCATAAACGCGCCCACGAGCCCGTGTGCGTGTCCCACCTCTGCTTACTCTGTTACACGGCCCATAAACACCTCTCCGAGTCTAAGTCCCGCTGTTATAAACACTATGAGCGCGCTCACGCAGCCCGCTATGTGCAGTGACGGGGACCATGTAGCCATTCACCCTCTAGCGTTACGCTTCAAAGCGTTGGAAGCTATTCCGGGAATTTCCCAGTGGGTGCTAAACACAATAAAGCTAGGCTATCGCTTACAGTTTCACCGCCGCCCTCCACGTTTTCGAGCGCGGCTAGAAACTATTGTGAACCCAGAAGCAGTGACGCTGCTCCGTTCAGAGATAGCAAAGCTATTGTGCAAAAGGGCTATAGAGAGAGTTCCTCTGTCTATGAGCGAGTCGGGGTTTTATGGCCGTTATTTTCTGGTTCCCAAGAAGGACGGCGGCCTCAGACCAATCTTAGACCTCAGATTTCTGAACAAAGTTCTCATGAAGAGACCGTTCAAAATGCTCACCATCAGAAAACTCCTCGCGCATGTGCGCCAGGGGGACTGGTTCATTTCACTAGATCTGAAAGATGCTTACTTTCAGATTCAGATAAATCCCCTTCACGGGCCATTCTTACGTTTCGCCTTCGAAGGCCAGGTTTATCAATACACCGTCCTTCCGTTCAGCCTATCCCTATCACCCCGTACGTTCACGAAGTGCATGAATGCGGCGCTCGCCCCCCTGCGGAGTCAGGGGCTGCGAATACTGAACTATTTGAATGACGGGCTGATTTTGGCACAATCACAGAGAGAGTTACTGTCTCATCGTACAGTTCTCCTCGACCATCTGAAAGCTTTGGGCCTCTCTGTCAACTGGACAAAGAGCGCACTACAACCCAGTCAGACTATCTCCTTCTTAGGTATAGAGATAGACTCGGTCACGATGACGGCTCGTCTGTCAACACAGCGCGCGCGCCGGGTTCAGCGTCTCGCCGCATCTTTTCAGATGAACAGACTCACACCTCTGAAAACTTTTCAGAAGGCGTTGGGTTACATGGCCTCAGCCTCCGCGGTGCTCCAGCTGGGGTTACTGCGCATGCGCCCGCTTCAGCTCTGGTTGAAGAGCCGTGTGTCTCACCGTGCGTGGACCACGGGCCACCAGCTAATAAAAGTAACGCAGACCTGTATCACAGCTCTGCAGCCATGGACTGTGGCAGAATGGTTTCAGCGGGGCGTTTCCATGGGGACCCTTTCTCGCCGAAAAGTCATCTCGACAGACGCATCCAACACGGGTTGGGGTGCGGTCTGCGAGGGCTTACCGGCCTTCGGCCCCTGATCAGCTCAGGAGAGCCTCCTCCACATAAATTGTTTGGAGATGCTGGCGGTCGAGAACGCGCTCACGCGCTTTCTTACGCGCATTCACGGTCACCACGTGCTGATCCGTTAGGACAATATAGCCGTGGTCTCCTATCTAAACCGTCAGGGCGGAGTCAGATCCAGGAATCTCTTCCGGCTGACAGAACGCATCTTAGTTTGGTCTCAGTGTCACCTAATCTCGCTCAGAGCGACGCACATGCCGGGACATCTGAACGACGGTCCAGACAGTCTGTCCAGGAACCCCATTCCCCCCGGGGAATGGTCCCTGCACACTCTTACAGTCCAAAAGCTGTGGCGAATATTCGGCAGAGCAGAGGTGGACCTCTTCGCCTCAGAAGAGAACACCCACTGCCCAATATTTTTCTCAAAGAGCGAGGACGCGCTAGCCCAGACCTGGCCCAGCCGCCCGCTTTATGCATTCCCTCCGGTTTCTCTGCTACCACAGGTGCTTCAGAGAATCAGGGAAACACGCCACTCGGTGCTCCTCATAGCCCCGCGTTGGGAGGGTCAGACTTGGTTTCCGGAGCTCACTCAGCTGTCACAGACAGCCCCGTGGCCCATTCCAGTCAGAGCAGATCTCCTCTCCCAAGCTCGCTGCATGATCTGGCATCCCCACCCAGACCGCTGGGCGCTACATTTTTACTGTTTACTATCTATACAGCAGATTTCCAGTACAATAGTGGCAGTTGCTTCCTCCAGAAATTTTCAGACGATACGGTCGTTGTTGGCCTAATTACAGGAGGTGAGGAGGAGGAGTACAGGAGAACTATTAAGGAGTTTGTTGGTTGGAGCGACCGCAACCATCTCCAACTTAACATCTTAAAAACAAAGGAGATGGTTGTGGATTTTAGGAGGAGGAGGAAGAAGACACCGTTAATCCCAATCGCCATCCAGGGCAGTGAAGTGGAGATGGTCTCCAGTCACAGATATCTCGGTGTGCAGCTTGATGATAAGCTGGACTGGAGGAGCCACATGGAGACAGTGTATAAGAAGGGTCAAAGCCGACTGTATTTTTTTAAGAAGGCTAAGGTCATTTAACATCTGCCGTCCTCTACTGTGCAACGTCTATCAGACAGTGGTGGCAAGTGCTCTGTTCTTTGCTGTGGTGTGCTGGGGAGAGAGTGCTCGTATGGGAGATCTAAATCGAGTCAATAAATTGATAAAGAAAGCAGGCTCGGTTGTGGGGACTGAATTTGATATGATCCAGCACGTGGCTGAGAAAAGAATAATCTCTAAGCTAAAATCAATCATGGACAATACCTTACATCCAATCCATGCTCTTGGGGTGATCAACAAGAGCACCTTCAGCCATAGATTGATTGCACCAAAGTGCAAGTCTGAACGTACCAGGAAGTCCTTTGTACCAGCGGCCATCAGAATGTTTAATGTGTTATGCATATTCACATGTTACTGAATGTACTATTTTAATTTTGTTATTAAATATTCTGTATTGAATATGCATCTATTACTGAATATTCTATATAGGTATTATTGTTTTTTTGTATTATGTTTTTGCTACTGAGTGTTAAAGCTGCCGTGACAATATAATTTCCTGCAAAGGATCAATAAAGTATCAACCAAAAAAAAATAATACATGCGTGGGTGATCAACAACTATCCGTTGCTTTGCCAGAGGGAGTGTTAAACACGATCATGCAGGCTAGAGCGGCTTCTACTAGAAGGCTCTATGCGTCTAAATGGTCTGTGTTCTCTAAATGGTGCACCGACAGAAACTTGGACCCACGGTCATGCGAGGTTCCTTCCTTGCTAGTTTTTCTCCAAAAGATGTTGACAAGGGCAGGTCCCCGTCCACTCTCAAGGTGTATGTGGCAGCCGTCGCAGCGTTCGTTGAACCCCGGCGCGGCCAGTCACTGGGCAAAGATGGCTTGGTCATCCGCTTCCTCAGGGGAGCTAGAAGGATGAACCCCCCACGCCCCCCTTCGGTGCCGATTTGGGACCTTTCCATAGTTCTCGAAGCTATGAAAGCCCCCCCATTCGAACCGCTAAACACCGTGGACCACAAATACCTTTCGCTCAAAACAGTTTTTCTGCTCGCGCTCGCGTCAGTAAAACGTGTGGGAGACCTTCACGCGCTGTCCATTAGCGCTTCCTGTCTCGAGTTTGGGCCCAATGACTCCTTAGTCGTTCTCAAACCTAGACATGGTTATGTCCCGAAAGCGATTGGTACCCCGTTCAGGGCACAAGTTATTTCCCTATCGGCTCTGCCTGCATCCGATAGCGATTCTGACTCTAATCTCCTGTGTCCGGTCAGGGCCCTGAGATTATACATTACTCGCACTGCTCCGGTCAGACGATCAGAGCAGCTTTTTGTTTCGTTCGGTGGGCGCACCAAAGGGTTGGCCGCCTCGAAACAGACTCTGTCCAGATGGATAGTTGATGCCATTGCAGCCGCATACGCGTCAAAAGACCTGCCATGCCCTCTGGGCATCAGGGCCCATTCCACTAGAGGCATGGCCTCATCGTGGGCATGGTCCAGCGGAATTTCCATTCATGACATTTGTGTGGCAGCGGGATGGGCTTCCCCCTCCACCTTAGTCAGATTTTACAATCTGGAAGTTCCCGCCTTGCAGGCTAAACTACTAGCAGTCTAGTATGTTACAGCTCTTCTGGTTGAGCTGCACTATAGGGAGTTATTCACACAGACCGGTTTCGCTCTGTCCCTCTCTATCATGTGCTTATGTACTACACAATCTCCGGCCCGCTCTGCTGGCCTTTGTCACATGTACATATATTTATTCCCACTCATAAGGGTTCCCTGGGGTCTCCCCTGGGACTCATAGTGGATGCTTAGCACGCACGGCGTTCTAGGTGTTCCCGTAGCGTAAGCTAGCTTACGCAATACGAGAGAACATCTCGTAAGAGAACGAATCGGTTACCTAACGTAACCTCGGTTCTCTCTAGATGAGGGAACGAGTATTGCGTTCCTGGCCGTGCTTGTGCTACTAGCGTTCTCGCTTCATTCTATGAAAACCAGAGTTTACAGCCTAGGACGCCAATATTATACTCTCTGACCACGCCCGTTTCGGCGGGCTCTGACGCAATGAGAGCATGTCAGACTCTCATTGGCCGAGAGTTCATTCGCGTCTCCTCATAGGCTTAAACAGTTCTCTGTGAGCGAACCAATGAGCTGCTAGCTAGCCCGCTCATGGTCTGCTGCAGCTGAACTGCGTTGACAATGGATACAAAATTATAGGATAATTTTTTGGCTTCAATTTCTCAGAAAAGATTAATCTTTCCCGTAGCGTAAGCTAGCTTACGCAATACTCGTTCCCTCATCTAGAGAGAACCGAGGTTACGTTAGGTAACCGATTCGTTTTGTATTATAATATTTTAAAATGCAATTTATTCCTGTGATCAAAGCTGAATTTTCAGCATCATTACTCCAGTCTTTAGTGTCACATGATCCTTCATAAATCATTCTAATATGCTGATTTGCTGCTCAAGGAACATTTTTTATTATCAATATTGAAAACAGTTATATTTTATTTTATTCTACAATATTTTTTTTGTAGACATCGATACAGGAATTTTTGAAGTTCATTAGAACAGCATTTATTTTAAATATATATATATATATATATATAGGTTTTAACATTATACATGTCTTTATTGTCACTTTGCTGACAATTGAATATACCCTTGCTTTCTTTGAAAAACTTACCCCAAACGTTTAAACAAAAGTGTTTATATAATTAGATGAAGGTAGATTATATAAACCTGTACCTGAACAAGTGTGCCTTGGTCATGAGCTTTTCTCCAGTGCAGTAATTTTCTAAAGCATCTTTTGAACAGTTCACCTGTAAAAACAGTTATATTCAAGCTGTTTTGCTTTATTGTAGCATAGTCAATTTCATTTACCAATGAAACTAACATAACTACAAACCAAAGCTCCTTGTGCTTACAGTCGGATGCATCTCTCTGGTGAGATAAAATTTGATTTTTCTCACCTTAACAACAGATATCCCATAGTCCTCTAGGGCATCTGCTGACATCTCGAGCTGCTCCATGAACAATTTGATGGTTGGATTGACTGCAAGTAAAAATAGAGCTTATGTAATTCATTACCTATGGAGTTTTTTTTACTTTAAAATTTACCTTTAACATTGTTTTGACACCTCAAATCCATATACGCTGAAGTGCTGATCTGACAAAATATGACAACTGCTCTTCAATCATTTTCCAAACAATAAACAAAGTCTCACCATGATTTCCAAAGTATATAAAGGATGTCTTCCCTGTGTGCATCCTCTCCATGAAGCTCTGGCTGGAATCTTCTATCAGTTCGGAGGAACATTGTTCTGCTGTCAGGCCAAACAGAAACGCAACCAAATAGAAGATGCACATGGTGCCCTTTTCCACTTTATGGACCTCTAACTTACATCTATTTACATTAGTTCATATTAGGGATGAACCCATCAATAACAACTGGTACTCAAAGAATCCATATCCAATCAAAACAACTCGCCTGTGCTGTGTGCAACTGAATGCATCATTCATAGTTTAGCATATTGCGCATTTAAGGTCAACCTATTTTAAAAAAAAAAACCTGTATGACCCTTTTGCAAATCCTTTGGGTTAATGATTCCGGGCCATTGTTACAAAACTTAACCACTGCAAGGCAAGCGTACATCCTCAAACACTACTGTCTACAACAACACGCGCAAATGTTGTCCAATCAAATGTTCAGGGAGGGTTTAACGGTGTGTTGAACACCAATCAGAAGGCTCATAATGCCTATGAGAAAACCAATGAGAATGAAGTAGGCGGATATCATGGTTCATCGGTGAATGTCATTTGAAAAGCCTGTCATTTTGGTTCGAACGAACAGTATTTTCAATACACCCACTATTCTAATGAAATCCAACATGTCGACTAAGTGCGTCAGTTTCCAGCTTCTTCCCTATTGGCCCTTCTGGCCCGAGCGTGATCGCTCTCTACATCATTAATCGTTTTTTTATAGAGTTGTTTTTCTTTGGCTTGGAGGGAGCTGCCTTGCAGAGATTTATTTATTTTTTACTTATTATACTTATTTTTTTCATGCCATGCTTACAAAACGTCCAATAATCTATTGCATGCACAAGCCACAGCTTAACAGATAGTACATCCATCAATTAAAAATAAATAAAGTATGCAATTATTTTGCATTTTACGTTACCGATTACAAATTCAATCCAGTCTTAGTAATTAACTACTGTGGACATTAAAAGCAACATGCGCAAACGTCCAAGCAAATTGATGGTATAGGCTACTGAAAATAATAACGTCGATACTTAGAAATTAAGAACGTAGAGGACCAGAGGCAGGACACCTAAAAAGACAAATGATTGGTTTCTCAAAAAAAAAAATAGGCGGAGCGCTAAACGCTCTTTGGCCAACGTACTAGAAAAGTCAAGTCATTTTGGCTCGAATGCGACAGAAATTTTCCATTCAGCTCTATTCAACTGAGAGCCAACATGGCGACACATGTGCGTCAGATTCTAGCTCTTTCCCATTGGTCAGTAGGCGGGGCCCGAGCTGCAACGCTAGCCAGCTGATCGCTTTTTTTTCTAGCTCTAGAGTTTGCTTTTCTTAGCTCGGAGGGAGCTGCTTTGCAGAGATTGGGGGACTCTGTCGTTTTTTTTTTAATAATTTGTTTTCCACATCTTGCTTGTGAACATCCAAGAATTTACGTTAAAGTTTATTCCTTAGGATAACAACTCAAGGCAGCCTGTAGTTTTTCATTTTCAGCTTATGTCATTTGTAATTAAGTTTGACGTTTTAAAATTTCTTATGATTTCTAAACGTCTGCACGAAAAGTTACATGGAAAAGGAAAACGGTAGAACGTTTTGGATAAGTCGGCGTGATAGCGAGCATCCAGGCGATATGTTGTTTTTACTAGAAAACCAGGTCAGTGTCAGTGTTTGGACGGACTCATCCTCCTCCTCCTCATCTTCATCATCATCCTCCTCCGCCGAGCTGATCCAGGCTGCGGTTCCCCCGTCCGTGGAGCTCGGTCTCACGGTTCTTTACACAGTTTTGTATTCGCTACTCTTCGTGTTTGTTTACCTGCAGCTCTGGTTGATTCTGCGCTACGGATACAAGCGCTTCAGCTACCAGAGTGTTTTTCTCTTTCTGTGTTTGCTCTGGTCGGCTTTGAGGACGACACTCTTCTCTTTCTACTTTAAAAATGTTGTTCAAGCAAACCAGCTTCAGCCTTTGCCGTTCTGGCTCCTGTATTGTTTTCCAGTCTGCCTGCAGTTCTTCACATTGTGTCTGCTCAACCTATATTTTGCTCAGGTAAGTCCTACTTTGCTGTTTCCCATTGAACTGAATTGGTTTTTGTTTTGCAATGTATTACACAACATCTAAATGCGTCTTTATGTGGGCTGATGATCTAATTAGCATATAAATCAATGTAATCTGTTAATAATATGAATCCTTTTGCATTCATGTTGAATGCAATTTCCATGCAACTCACATCTAAGTGGGTCCCTCCCACCAAATGTGTTTACTTCATCTGACTGACTTCATGCTGTTGCGAATGCGATTGAAAGCATCGTCATACTGTCATACAGGCATATTATGTTTAAAAAAAAATCAGAGACATTCATGTTCATGATACTGGGACAAGAGCACAGCTGGAGGTCATCAGTTTCTGTTCAAGTCCCTCTGCTTGGCCACAACAGAGCAGTTCACAGGACACTCTGAATGAGGTCTATTATTGCCACTTTTAGTCCATCCTTCCACCCTTTGTAAAGTCTTGGCCGTCTGTGAATGCAAAACCTTATCATGCAGGGGATGAAATATTGTTCATCTCTTCTCCGAAGCTTTGTGCTCTGGAGGATAGAACATTAGAGGTCCTTATTCTATGCTGGAAAAATAACAACTACGTAGTTCACACAAAAATTACACTAACACTATTCATTACCAAAGCTGTTTTCTTTATTCTGTACACCACAAAAAGAGATGTTTAGAAGTGTGTCCACTCTGCTCTTTTCCATACAGAGAAAGTGAAGGAGGACTTAGGGCTGTCAAGCTCCAAAAAAAAAAAAAAACACCATAAAATTAACATAATAGTAGTCAGTCAGTATGAGAACAGCATGCTATATCCCAAGTCTTCTTGATGGCATATGATGGATTTATGATGAACAGATCAAAATGGTTGAGTTGCTGTTGCTCAAACAGTACAACATGCCATTTGCAACGTCGTGGGTTTGATTCCCAGTCTCCAAATGTAGTCGCTTTCGATAAAAGCGCCTGCCAAATGCATAACATAAATGACAAATTTAAGTCGTTTTATGCTTTAAAAAAAATTCCTCCGATCTTCCTAAAATCTCATTTGCGATTTGAATATGGATTTATTTCCAAAATCGGACGCGAGATGTCTTGATGTGTTTTTCATTCATTTTCTTTTTATAAAAAAGAGAAGTGTCATTCTGCTAAACTTCTCCTTTTTTTTTCTCAAAAACAAAAGAAGATATTTTGAAGAATGTTGGAAACCAACAGAAGAAAGACACTCATTGGGAAACTCATGAGTAAATTATGACAATTTTTGGTTGAACTATTCCTTTAAATATCTCATGAAGCAGAGGGAAGTTTTTGATAAAGTACTGTTGCTCTGGAGGTCTTGCTTTCTCTTAAAAGATCAAGGCTGAAAAGATTCTTAATATGTCTGAGAATGTTATTAATACGCCCTTTGAAGGCTTTTTTTTTTTTTTTTTTTTTGGTCTGTGCAAGTCAAAAGTCTTGTAAGGTACTCTTTGACACAGAATCAACCCTGTAAAATATTGTTTTACTCTAATTTGCAAGTGTATATGAGATTCTCATTATTATTCATGTCCCAAACTCAACAAATGCGTGCTTTGCCCTTTCCGTTCTGTCCGACATGACCCCGGCTGATATTAATCTAACCTTGCTTATATTGCATTTTATTTCACCCGTAGTCAGCACAAAGAGCTGTGGCACAATCAAACCTGACTGACAAACCCTGCAGTCCTGTTAGATTTATTGACAGCTTTGTTTTATGCAACCACCATTTATGCATGTCTGCAGCCTTTCCCCTTACACCCACATTAAGTTGCAGAGGGTTGCTTGAGAGAGCTGCCCTTTGTGCGTATTACTCGGGAGCTATTTGAGATGTGGGCATCGTACAGACACTGCCTGAACACTGCGAGTTGGCATTTGAAGGTGCGAGCCAATCAGAAGCACCTGCTGCAAGAGCATTACATCACTCTGCTCAATCCTGTGCTATTCCAGGCACAACAAAAGGGGTGTGCAGCATTCTGCTCTAAGAACAGCCAGCGCACAGACAAAGACGGCAAGCAGCCTGACTTCAAAATGTCAGCCAAAAACAAAAATCCCATCGGTGGGGTACTGTATCCCGCACGGGGTACGTATCCGAGTGGGTCGTTTGTGCACGACAGACACAGTAATGCCCTAATGACCACTATTAGTGGTCAATAGTGCGATTGATGTTAGTTGCTGCAAAAACGGGTTAGCTTTATATACTATTGGAAGGTTACCTCATTCAATCACTGATTTGGAAGGGAAATTCAGCATTATATACACTATATTATATATCTGTGCTGTTAAAACTACAAAGTCATTTCGTACGGTCACCGTGATTTTGCCAAGTAAGACATGTTCCTGGATCAACATCTTTTGTTAATCCTGGAATGACATTCCTGTGTAAAAACATAGTCCTAACCATAAAAAGTACAAAAGCTGTCAGTGGGGCAGTACCTTTTTTAAAAGGTACCAATATGCACCCTTATAGGTACACAAGTGTACCTTTTCAAAGGGTACTGCCCCACTGCAGCTTTTGTACCTTTTTTTTCCTGAGTGTAAAGGTAAAGGTAACCCTAATCATAACTTATCCCTAAAATCATCAGACGGAAATGTAAGGTGAATAAGAATGGTGTAGAAGCCCCTAACCATGGCTGTAAGCCTAAACTTGACAGAAACTGTAAAGCTATCCCTCAAATCTGATTGGTTGATTAGAATGTTGTTTCAGGATCAACAAGGATGTAGTTTCAGGAACATGTTTTACTTGGTGAAATCACATTGACCCATTTGATAGACGCACTCTAGAATGTAGAGAAAACGCGAGCTCTTTAGGGGACTTAAAAATTGCAACACTGTAAATAATGCATGATATCCTTTGCAAGTATTGTCATATTTCACAGTTTTCACTTCTGTTCTTCCTCTGTCATCCTGTTCCCTGAGGTGGTACCAAAGTGATGACCAATCATTTTTTTCAAATTAGACTTTCAGCAACTCTCGTGCGTGGAGGAAACACATTAAAGGCGTGTGTACCGTCAACACCAACAATTTACTTGAAGCAGAAACTCCCTTGTGAAAAGCATGTGTGATTTCCGCATGTAGGTGTGTGAGAGTAATGCATCACATGAGACCTCATCAGCAAAGCTCTGCAAAAGAGAAGAGATTGGCCCATTTTTCACCCTTGTATGTTTTTTGCTGTTGGTGGCACACTGTCGGCAGTTTTTGGTGCTTGCCCGGGCGTTATTTTAAACATTATTTCACAAGAATGTTCCATGTAAAGAAAAAAGGAAAATTGACATCTGTATCTGTGACATGCTTTCGATTACTTGATACAATAATTTTGACTTGTCCCTCGTTTTATAAATATGACCAAAAGTCCTGTTGAGGGTGATGCCCTTGAGATAGAATAAAAGTATATGGGCCAAGGCATCCTGGAGGGTTTAAAAACAGAAATGTGCAGCTTGTAGTTTTGTTTAAGCACGTATCTTAGTGTTTCTATTTAATAATAGCACTTCTGGCATTACCACTTCTGAACGCTGATTTTTCTATATGCAATCAATCAAAAAATATTTGGCTCTGTAAGATTTTTTTTAATCTTTTGAAAGCTTTTGGCTTTTGAAAGAATTTATGCTCTCCAAGGCTGCTTTTATTTGATACAATGTGTATACAGTGTTGGGAAGGTTACTTTGGAAAGGTAATGGGTTACAGATTACAAGTTAGAAGTTACCCTATTTAAAATGTAATAAGTAGTGTAACTGTTTCAATTACTTTATTAAAGTAATGTAACTGATTAAATTTGATTACTTTTCAAAATTTCTAACAAATTTTTTCAACTGTTAAATAATCATTTTCAATTTAAAACATTTAAATCAGGCAGGGTTAACAACCTTACAGTAGTATTCAACACTGATTACTGTCAGACTTTCAAAATACACACACACACACACACACACACACACACAAGGGTATACAGTATATTTAAGTCACACAAAAAAAATTTGCTTATTTAATCCAATTTTCTCTATTATTCAATACAGTTTTGAAAGAATGACATATCCTTGACTTGTTAATGTCAGACCTTACTCAATATCTGTCTGTCATCTCTTGACCATAAAAGTTGTTAAAGCATGACATTTATCACGTCAAACCACTTATTGACGGCCTGTTTCTGCAGCCGTATCATCCCGGAGAGTCTTATTAATTCAGTTTGCTAAGGAATCTTTATAATGGTCCGCCAAATGTTGGCATCGCCCCCGCGCAGCTCCATTACAGCTTACTGGAATGTTGTTTTCTTATTCCCCACACACCCTCTGAGCGTCTTTGTCCTTGTAAACCATCCCTAGATATAAGTTTGGTATAGATCATTATGATATTTGGGCGGACTGCTGTTTACACTCCCCAGTGCTTCTTTAAACTCATATTTGGGACTAATAAGTCACGTGATCGGGATCGGTAACAGATTATCGAGATCGGTGCCACATTATGTGTTCAACAAATTTAAGCACCTGTTTGAGTTGTTCATTGGAATGAATCACATTTTGCCCTTTGACAGCTGACTTGGAGAGGTTTATGCTGGAATTTGTTTTCCCCTAATGATTTTAGCTGTTGTGTCAGGAGAGGTTTAGGACGGCTGTTGTTAATCTGTAACTAGGCCACAGTTTCTTTGCCAGGGATCTCTAGGTTCTGTAGACCTGCTTGTCTTGTAAAAGGAGGATGTGGATAGCGAGGACAGTCCACTAGAGCGTTGAAGGAAAACAGTCATTTAATCCTCCTGCTCCCTAAATTAGCCGCTTGTTTGTTCCTGGAAAATACAGTTGTCATAAGTGGGCTGAATTTGACTTATATTATGTCAGTATCTTAAAGGGCCCTTTTTTGTTGAACTTTTTGCAGTGTTTTTCCTTGACGCCCACTAGTTAGCCAAGGTGTCTTGTAACAAGTTAACTTCTTTTTGCATAAATACTTATGTACACTACCGTTCAAAAGGTTTGGGTTGGTAAGTTTTTTTTTAAAGGTGT